TATATATATATATAACTATAAATCTCTTGTTTGAGACATATAGAATTATTATATACGATAAAACTTCTTTTTTAAATATTTAATATTATTATATATCAAATATCAAATTTGAGAACTATTATTTAAGTCTAAAACATTTTTAGTGGCAATTGATTCACACATTCTATAATAATTTTTATATCAATATGTTATATATAAATAAATTATAATATCTAATTGTGCATTTAATAATTTAATGATTATTTTTAAAATAAGCTAACTAATAATGTAGTTTGATTAATTCATCATCTTTAAAGGTAAATGAATCTAGTCACTTTGTTGGTTCCATGACTTCTTGTTTTATTTGGTAGAATAAAAGAGAAAAAAATAAATACATGAGGTCCATATCTTTTTATTTTTATTTTTATTTTATATTCTTTTTATCACCCCTTTTAGAGGATTTGAGGGGAAGTTGCAATCGCTTATCATTGTTACTTGTGATATATTCACGTGAGTGCAAAGTGAGACCTATCTCTCGTCCATAATCGATTATGACGATTACATAATTAATTATAGAAGCTATATTTTGAGTTTCAAAGATTTTTAGATATTGTGAAAAATAATAATTAATTATAAAAGGTCTATACTCAATTATGGCAAACTTTCTTATATAGACTTATTTAATATAAAAAATTTAAATGAAAACTTAATTGTAAAGGGAGACATTTGTAAATTAATTTAGATCATCATTTTAACTTTTTTTTTTATATTTAATTTAATATAAATCAGTAAAAAAATTAATCTTTCTTCTATTTTTCTCTTACCAAATCTCTTTTCTAGTTTCCTCCTCTTACACAACCTAAAGATATCAATCAATTTTGGTGACAGAGATTACTTTGATAATACTGATGAATTTTTTTTGTTAATATTATAGTTAAAAATATAAATCTATTATCGAAAAATTTCTTTAAGAGGTATTATTAATCTAATCGTATTAGAATTATGATATTATTGTTATGCACAAAAAATCTTGAAATACGGAAAAAACTTTAAATAAATATCATAAATTCACTAGAACTATAGATTTGATATTTGTGTGTTTTTTTTTATATAGAGTTGCATACAAAGATATTATTTTACTTTTGATATGAGTCGATTCATTGAGAAAGTTATGTCTCATAATTATTAAAAAAAAATCTAATGGAATTGAAAATATAGTATTACTAATATTAAATGACCTATGAGTAGTGTAATAATGTTTTTTTTTTTTGGGAGTGTAGTAATAATGTTAAAAAGTAAAATTAAAAATAGTAAAATAAGAATGGTGATGAGAAAATGTGGCATGTGAGTGAAGAAGCATTTTAGGAGTAGATTCTTTTAAGCTTTTGCGTTTGGTGGGAGGAGTGGTATATTTATTCAGCATTCGGCTGCACTTAGCATTCGTCTCATCTCAAAGGCGGAGATTTCAAACCCAACTTCGCTTCTTTAAAACTCTCTTCATTCCTCCATTCCCAGGTACCTTCTCTCCCACCACCCCAGATCCCAATTCTAGGTTCTCATTCCAGATCTGTTTTTCTTCCATTTCCCGTTTTCTTTGTTTCATCTTAAATTTTCCATTTTTCACCCAAAATTATGCTCTCGCATGCGATTCCATTGCACCTTTCACATGCATCTTGCCCTATGTAGTTTCCAATCTATTTAATTGCTTCTGTTGAATAACCTATAGGGCATGCCGTAGCAAAATAAACCTTACAATTTCTTGTTTCTTTGCTGTTTTTTGTTTCTGCTCTCTGATAGATTTGTGTGTGTTAATGGAATAGAGCTGATGCCAAGTTTGTGTCACAGGTTAAGATGGCAGCGGCACCAGCAGTTACCTTCACAATTGGAAGCACCGGTTCCCTCGGCCAGAGAGGGGCCTCATTCCCTCAATCAAAGCCTCTTGGACTGAGATTCAACTCCCACAGTCATTTGAAGGCTTTCTGTGGCCTCAAGGCCATGTCATCTGTGAGATGTGACTCCGAATCATCGTTTTTTGGTAGCAAAACGGGTGCTGCTCTGCATGCATCTTTTGCATCCAAAGCTCAAAAGGAGAGTCAAAACTTCAACTACCGCTTCCAGCCTCAGGCTTCATACAAAGTTGCAGTTCTTGGTGCTGCTGGAGGGATAGGTCAGCCTCTGGCGCTTCTCATCAAGATGTCCCCTTTAGTTTCCGACCTGCATCTCTATGATATTGCAAATGTTAAGGGAGTTGCTGCTGATCTCAGTCACTGCAACACACCCTCTCAGGTCAGGGATTTCACCGGAGCTTCTGAGTTGGGGAATTGTTTGAAGGGTGTGGATGTTGTTGTCATTCCTGG